TTTTTAATTAGGTGTTTGAAAAAAAATGGTAAAAATCCTTAAAACAAAATTAATTTACATGAGAAGCAATTCTGCACAGGATATACAGACTTGTTTTCACATCTTGTTTATCAGATAATAACTTGGTTATATTTAAAAAGTGAGAATTAAAGGCCAGTGCAGGCAAAATACTATTGTATTTAAGATACATTCTCTGAAAAACTTGCTTGAAGGAAACCTTTTAAATGAATAAGTGTACAATGATTTATCATCATCATCATTTCATGTACTGCAAAATAATATTGTCTTAATCATCACTTTTGATGTTTTCCAGTAAAATACCCAAGCATCCATAAAACCAAATAAATTAAGTAGAGAAGCAAAATGCACTAGATATAAACGCAAATTACAGCATTTATTTCTTGTTAAATAAATATTTAGATTTCGGTTTAAAACAAAAAAAAATTATTATTGCCAACTTATTTAATTCAGGATATAGTCTCTGAAAATCGACAGTACACCCCAAAATGGAAACTCTCATCATGTATTCACCCTAATTTCATTCTAAACCTGTCTGGCCTTCTTCTGTAGAACACAAAAGAAGATATTGGTGGGGGGTTTTATAATACGAGTCGATAAAGTCAGTGGGGTCCAATATTTTTTAGACCCCCAACATTCTTCAAAATATCTTCTTTTGTGATCAGCAGAAAAAAGGACAACATACAGGAATGGAACAGCATGAATTTTGGCTGTAAGTATGTTCACACATTTTGAAAATACATATAAAATATAATAATTACTTGTACACGATGTTATGATCTTCTCCACATCAGTTCCTGTCCTCTCTACCCTAATAATAATTAAAAAGTCAACATTTAAAAAAAAATAAAAAGTGCTTTGGGACTCTGACTACCTCAAATGCTGGCTAAATGAATAAACGATTTCAATAGCACCACAAATTTACAAAAACACATTCTGACACATCTAAGATGCAAAATCTATAATGGATCCCAATGTGATAGAATGACTCATCACAGCCAGCTAACAAATTCAATACTGCGATGAGATCCTCATCGTGACCTTCTCGTTGATGGAGTCCCTTTAAGATTAGCTTATCATGGCATCAGTGTCTGGGGGTCGTTAAGATCGTCCCGCACCATTGACTCTGACAGCAGCTAAATGCTACAGTGAGTATTTATGGGACACCCCCACGGTCTGCTGCAGCCAGCCAATCAGAAACGGCCACTACATTCATTGCAACACAGAGGTCAGTGAAGGCAAGAAGAACTTCTACAACTACAATAGAAAGCAATAGTGACTTTGAAACATCAGATTAATCCATGCAGCGACTGATGCTTGAACCACAGGTCAGATATTTCCCATTGCCTCCAGTCGCTCAGAGTTCTCCTTTATTCTGTATCACAGAGAGTAATCAAGAGAATCTAAGCGTCTGCCCCAAGTGAACAATTTAATAGGGAAAAAAGAACCAGATACAGTAGAAAGATAGATAAATAAATAAATTTCAAAGTCAAACACGTTTCACAGGATCAATGTGTAGACTGGGTTGGCATGTCCTCCGGGTGCCAGACTCAAAAGCTCTCTTGCTTTACTTCAAAGAAGACATTTGAATTTCTAATCTCAATTCTATCAGCAGGCCTGAGGCTTAGCGACTGGTATACAGGAAAACTAGGACAGTATCCGGGCAGCATGAGAGGGATTCACACCTAAAGCCCAATTAATAATTTTCATCATGACTTCAGGAGCCAAGCAGAAAATGGAGAGTCTGTGCAAGGATAATTGAGTGTTTGTGACTCAGCCGGAAAGTTTCTAATACTGCTGAAAGCATTTTGCTGTAAGGCCACAAAGATTTCTCAAACGATTCAGTCACATCTGCCGCAAGATAAAGCGATATGTTGTGAAACAGTTAGAGAGGGATCTTTTTAAATGAGCAGGTGCAATGCAAAAAAAGTTCAGCTGCACTGCAGGATGTCCTGCAATAAAAGATACACCTGTTCAGGTGACATTTAGCGCCGGAAATGTCAAACATAACTGTGTGTGCTGCTTAATTTCATGTATTATGCATCGCTTTAAAATATGTGATTTGTGAGGAGTGTTAAGAGTCAATGTGGGGAGTTTCTAAACTTTCATAAAACTTAAAATGTATCTCCATCTCTTTCAATGCATCACTGATGCAAAAATAAAAATGAGTAAATGAATCACCTATTCAGTACGGTTTAAAAGTTTAGAGTCGGTATAAAGAAATTAATACTTTTATTCAGCACGGAAACATTAAATCAAAGGCATTTATGTTTCGTTATAATGTTAAAAGATTTATATTCCAAATAAACACTGTTGTTTTGAACTTTCTATTTATCAAAGAATCCTGAAAAAAAAGGATAAGGTTTTCTACAAAAACTTTTAATCAGCACAGCGGTTTTCAACATTGATAATAATAAAAATGTTTCTTGCACACCAAATCAGCATATTAAAATGATTTCTGAAGGATCATGTGACACTGAAGACAGGAGTAATGGCTGTTAAAAATTCAGCTTTGCCATCACATGAATCAATTACATTTTAAAACATTTTACTATAGAAAACAGCAATAATATTTCACAATATTACTGTCTTTACTATATTTTAACCCTTTGGCCCTCTTCGTTTAGGAGTCACACTTGCCTCCTTCGCGGTCAAAGGTGACCGAACTGCAAGGAGGGATGGCAGAGGATCCCCAAATCCAGGTGTGAACAACTTGTTGCATCTTTCCCAAAAAGACTCATGGCTGTATTAGATCAAAAGGGTGCTTCTACTAAATACTGAGCAAAGGGTCTGAATACTTAGGACCATGTGATATTTCAGTTTTTCTTTTTTAATAAATCTGCAAAAATGTCAACAATTCTGTGTTTTTCTGTCAATATGGGGTGCTGTGTGTACATTAACGAGGAAAAAAAATTAACTTAAATGATTTTAGCAAATGGCTGCAATATAACAAAGAGTCAAAAATTTAAGGGGGTCTGAATACTTTCCGTACCCACTGTATATCTAGACATTCTAAAAGACTACTTTTTGTCAAGGTTGAGATATTTTTGGATAGATAAGTATCAGATTTTACATTATGATTACAGTCAAACATTAAAATCTTGTTAGAAAGGCAACACATAGAAAGCATTTTGTTACTCATTAAAAAATCTAACAAAATAAGGAATGGATAGTGATAATTCAAAACACTTTATACAAACATTTTCTAATTTAATTGATATTTTATTCAATGTAATTCAATAAATGTTAATAAAACTTCAGAACAGAAATGAATTTTTTTCGTATTTCCCATTCATTTCCTATGTCGGTCATTTTTGACCGCGAAGACGTCAAGTGTGACTATTTTTTTTTATTTTTTTTTACCCTTTAACATATCCTAATCATGTCCATGATTTTTTGTGTGTGTTCATACTGCTAATGTGACAAAAGTCACCAAGCATCATCTCATTCTGATAAAACTAAGATTTTTTTAAATTTCAAAATATAAAATTTTTCGGTCAAAAATGACCAAAGAGGGCCAGAGGGTTAAATATACTGTAGTATATGTATAATCGACTCTATTATGAATGCAGCCTAGGTAGCATAAGAGACTAAAAAGAAACCTATCGACCCCAGAATTTTTAATGGTAATGAATGAAAAGGTAAACAATGAGTAAAAGTGAACAAAGTAAACAATATGAAAAAGTACAATTCTATCTATCTCTCTGCTCTGCCTGTGCATGAGCTCCATCAGGCAGTCAACACAAACTCTTGTATTGACTGACAGTAGAGGCCATTGTCACTCATGTGAGGTTGTGTACACCTGTTGAGCTCCAACTCTTAAATCAATTCCTTCCTGTTCCCCATAGAGCAAGACACCGGAGTTGAATGCATGAAGAAGCCTACCATAAAATACGGATGCAGAAAAGATACTTAACGAACACCCCTCAAAAAAAAAACAATAAAAAGTATTTTTATGAAGCAAAGTGCATCATACTTACACCATGAAATCATCTATATCCATGGAACGTGCCCTCTTGTCGCTAAACTTCGACTCTTGAAGGATGCTTTCAATTTTCTGAGCAATGTTGAAATCCTGTTGTATTTCCTGTAATACAATTTGGAAATGTATTTTAACGCAAGGGTTTCTGCACGCTTTAAGAGGGTACATTGTTTAAACCAATTAAAGAAAATTAAAGGAATAAATTAAAGGGAACGACATGTCAGCATGTTCTCTAAATGCAAACCTTTTTTTTTTTTTTAAACAGTGTAAAGAGAATATGTGAATAACTTTTACTCTACCTTCAACTACCTGCCTAATTTTTTTTCCTGTGCAAACATCTAAATCAAGATACATTTACTTCATAAGCAAAATGGCATACAGTAAGATAACATGTCTTGCTTTCTGAGGAATTGTTCAAAATAAAGTGAGTTAAAGATTAAAACAATACAAAATATCTGCAAATGGGCTAAAAAAAAAATCAACTTAATTCAAAGGGAGAAAAAAAAGTCTTCATTCCTTCTTGACAGACATTTGTTTGTGTTTTACTCAAACACTTCATTTTGTTCAATTTATCAGAAAACAGACTTCAACTATGTTCATTTTGCATCTCAATTAAATGAAACTAGTTTAAGGCTGTACTTTACAACAAGACATAAATACTAAGAAAGACCATTTTTTTTGCAATGTACGCGACATCTAATGCAATGACTATGAATTTAGGACTTTCTGCCTAAATTTGTGGAAGGGTGTATTAATGCTGCGTTCAAGTCCTCCTGGAACGTTCGTACTTACGAGTTGACAAGTCATAATTACGACGTCAGGTGCGTTCAAGTCAGTTTAGTCGGCACAAGATGGCGGTGTACCTTCTTTTAACAAATTACAAGAAAATACAACATGGTCTGCATTTTTTTACTTGGATTTCAGCTGCATAACAAGAACAATTTAAGTTTATAGGACAACTAAACTATCAATTTAAACAAATTACCGTCAACTACAGCATCTATCGATTCCACCATGTATTCTCCAATAACTGTTCAACCGCAGCAGACCTACATTTAAAAAAAAAAAAATAAATAAAAAAAAAAGGTCAGTTCCATATCATGACTCGCCAGCTTCTTAAATTGATTACTATTGATCACTCAGCAAAACGCCATTTAGGGATGTCTTACTTGAAGGCAGCACTGAGTGTTTTGTTCTTACGGACAAATGCAATTCTGACAAGACCATCCCATTCCTATAAATGTGGAAAAACAAGACTATATTATTTTCAATAACTGTAAAGTCAGTATACACACTTTATTTAATAAGGACACTTACCTGGAAGTTGATAGGCGGTGGAGGATTTTTGGGCTCTATCCTCACCACGCTGGACTCTACTTTTGGAGGTGGTCTGAAATTATTCTTTCCCACCTTCATAAGCATAACATTTTAGTGCAAGATTTTACATATGAATTATGATGAGAATGCATTACGGCTGCACAATTAATCGAATTTCTAATCGCAATTACAATTATGGATGCCACAATTACGTAATCGTTCAAAGCGGCAATTAATCGTTCAAAGTCCACTTATGTTATTCTGCACGCTTAAGATTTTCAGTAAGTAAGATTTAAGTTTTTTTTCTTTCTACATGTTATCTTAAGGGTTTTTCCATTGTTTTAGTATAACATTTTAATACCAATCATATTTGTACTTTTTTTTTTATAATTTAAAGAAAAAACCAATCCGATGTATATTTGACATTTGAGGCTTAATACTATTGAAAAGTACTAAAAGTTTTCAGTTAGTGTTTTCAGCTTGTTTATTTTCATATAAAAATACAGCATGCAGTTGCATCGAACAATGGCGTAAACATCATTCAATGTAAATTGTGATAATCGTAATTAATAATCGCAATTACAATTTCAAGGGAATAATAGACAATTATGAGTTTTGTCATAATCGTGCAGCCCTAGAATGCATTTAATTAATCTGAGCAGGCACCAACCTTCATGAGGTGGTCCACACGGGCTAGGAGCTGTGTGTTGATGGACAGCCTGCAGTATAGCTTGTCCCCAGGTTTAGCCACCAACCGCATGGCAAATTCCCTCTGAAACATCAGCACAGCACACCTACAGACAAAATAAATACAAAACTCAACTCAAACTGATCTAACATTTCATTATTATTTTCCATTGTAATGCAGTGGGTTTTAACTGGTTTTATAAAGTCGTAGACGGTATAATGGGGAGAAAATGAGCCACTCTTACAAATATGAACGGAAGAAATCATAATGCTCAATATGATGGCACTATCTTTCAATTTAAAGTGTGAAACAGTAGTTTGCTTACTCTATTCTACATTCACGTTTACAGAACCAGCCTGAAAAACAGTTTCTCCAATTTCTTACCTAAAAAACGGCCTGTGAAGTAACAGCTTGAACACGAAAGGTGATGATATCTAGAAAAAAAAACTCAATGTGAATACCAGTGATTTGTTAACACTTTACAATGAGGTTTCATTTGTTAACTACATTAACATGACAAATACTTCTAAAGTTTATCTTAGTTAGTTTCTGTTAATTTCAACATTTACAAACACGGCACATTATTAAAATCAAATCTATTAATATTATCTATTGGACCTGAGCTAAGAAACAAAAAACAGCAACAAAAATAATAAATACTGAAACATTAACTAACATTAACTATTAAATAGGACCTCGTGAAGCGTTACCACCAGTAACTCTTAAGACAGATCTACAGCGAAAAGAAGAAACAAATCTCTGAACCAATACCTGATATGGCAAGTTAGCCACGCAGACATCAAAAAAGGGGAGCTCTGTCTTGAGGACGTCTCCTATGAGGATCTGAAGCTTGTTTTGCATTGGACTGCATTGAAAACAGATTTTTCGGTCAAACAGGTGCTGAGATCTTGACAACAGTGGCAATGAATGTGTATGAAAAACACTCACGTGCACTGGACTCGTTTTTGAAGCTCAGCAACAAGCCTGGTGTCCAACTCACATGCAACCACCTTTGAATTATAGCAAATGAAGTAATTGTGTGAATAATAATAAATAAAAAAAATATGCATAGCTACTGAAAATCTAACAATAAACATTTAATGTAACATTTACTTTCTTGGCTTTCTCCAGAAGTTTGACAGTCATGTTACCAGTTCCAGGACCAACTTCCAGAACCACATCTGTTGGTCGCAATGCTGCCTGCAAAGACACTTGTGTGTTAAATCAACACACAGATTATGTTGTGCTGATACAATGTGGTGACACTGACACATACAGAAAGCGGTTATCTTCTTTAGCAGAAAGATGACTTGCCAGAAATATAAAATGAAAACGACAGAACATTTTACAGACCATTTCAAAATTCCACATTACCGACCTTCTCTATGATGCCGTTGACAACCAATGGATTTTTTAAAATATGCTGACCAATACCAGTATTGAACATAATTCCTGAAACAGATCAATAAACATTGAAAGTTTAAACGTCACAATAAACATTCTTTATGGTCCGAAAAACAGGCTTCATTTTCTTAGTCATACAGCATACACAGTACAAAACATGAACGCAACCTACCTTGACTCTTCACCTCCTGGTGTTGTCGAGATTTTTTCTCAGCTTTAACCTTCGGCATTTTGATAAGTTATGTTTGAGATTCCAAATTGTCAAATTGACAGTACAACTCTGCGTATACGTTTACTGTATCGTAAACACGTGCAGCAACTGCTGGCTTTAGTTCCTTCGGTTTCTCTCAGCTGATCGGATGGAAATCAGTCGACAGCCTCAAGCTCCCTCTGGCGTCGTGGAGGACACGTGGCGGAACCGGAAGTGACCTTCCAGTGCTGTTTTGCGGGTTCTTTTTCGCGGCAATCCGAACGTGATGCACAGATTGAGGAGGAATATGACAGCTGATTTTTTTATGTTAATATAGAAGGTAATGTTTAATATTACTATATAATCTGTGTTAAAGATAAGTTTCTTATTTCGAGCTTTATCTTCCGCCGAATAAAATTGTATTTAACGTTAGAAAGCAAAAGAGGTTGTCAAGTTGTTGTGTTTAGCGCCAGTTCAGTGTTTTGTTTAACGTTAGCTGGACTCTAATATTTCTCTTTGATACAATTGCGACTGATGAAATCTGTTATTCGGAACATGTAACGTTATGCATCTTCTTGCTTCTGTTCTTAAGTTACAGATTCTTCATATTTGAACATCGGAGGACACAATAACAATGGCATCAGTCACTGCAGAGGACATCAAATGTGAACTGGACACTTTCAACATCGCCTTCAACAATGACACTGTAGATAAAAGTAAATGTCAAGTTTTTTATGTTGTTTTAATTTGTTATAGTATAGTTTGTGATAGTATTATAAATACGAATTTAGTGAATATATGTAATATACAATAAGAAAAGAATATATAAATGTGTGTATGTGTACACACATATATATATATATATATATATATATAGGTGTGTGTATATCTGTATGTATATATATATATATATATGTATATGTATATGTGTGTATATAATAATAATGTATATATATATATATATATATTTATGTATATGTGTGTGTGTGTGTGTGTGTGTGTGTGTGTGTGACCCTGGCTTTGAAAACCCAGCTCATTTTTTTTTGGTGTGATTTACGGTTTTCTACATAAAAGCATCCTTCATAAGGTAAATAACATTCTGTGAAAATGTAACCATGATTTAATATTGACTGAGTAAGACCATGTCAAAGATTGAAATCATAGTGAAATTAATGGTTGAAATCAAACTTTGATGCTTGTTATCTCATTATTAGATATTGAGACTTTAGCCTGGATTTCACAGAGAGGGTCTCACACACGCACACATATATACATATATATATATATATATATATATACAATATATATTATATTATATTACACTCTTACAGTGGTCATATGTTGTAATAATTGTCTCTTGTAGTGTTGGAGCAGTGTTTGTGTCACAGGTTGAAGGGGGATGAGATCGTATTTGAGTGGTTTGCTTTCAGCTCCAGTAGAGACCAGCTGCCTCTCACTCTTGGTAATCTGGACCAGTTTGAACATGAAGTTAGTATAAGTGTGCAAAACATGGTAACTGCAACACAGATACTGTAAGATCTCCAGAGATGCCTTAATGAATAAGAAACCCTATGTTTCCCTGCTTAATTTGTGTACTGTTTTTGTACTCCTTACAGATGCTGAACAAGAAGAAAAAGCCTAAAGGCTCATCAAAGGGAATCCAGTTTAACAAGACAAGAGACATTAATTCTATCCAGGAACTGTATCCTTATCGCTCAAACAATCACTGGGTTGAATTTGATGCAATTTTTAGGTATTTTATTCACTATAAATGCTCAAAGTAATTTTCTTAACAGAGTCGCACAGAATCCGAGCAGAAGAGGAAGAGGAGAGCTTGTTAGATTCCTATTCAACACCTGCCAAAGTAAGAAAAATTGGAGACAGATTAATATGGGACGCTTGATGGAAATGTAGATGGATAGATAGAAAATCTTGTATAGCTCAGCTCTTAAAAGTAAACCCAACTATTTCTTTATTTGATCTGCTTAAATGCTGTCATTTTCAGTATACTGAAATTGTCTTTCTTGGAAACTGGATTGGTAAGAAAGCACAAATGTAAATGTATTCCTATCTCTATGTGACTGCAGGGCTCTCAGAAGCGTGCGCTGACCACCCCAGAACATTCTCAGTCCAAGAGAGGTGTGGCCCGACTCACCAGTCCCAGTCTATTGCTGTCACCTGCCAGCTTTTCATCAAGGTAATAAAATCATCAAACATTTATTCAGATTTGAATATATGAGGTCTTTGAGGAAAAATCGTTAGTGCAACCATAACCTGACCTTCCAAAAATTACCTTAAAGACAGTGTGGAATAATTGGCATGGTAACCTTTTAACTTCCAGATGATATAGTCAATTTAATATAGTTAACTTTAATAAAGTTGTGTTATGTGTTTGTGTAGTGCAACCCCTTCTCAAAAATACGGCACGCGTTGTGGGCGAGGAGAGGTGGTTTCGTCGTTTGGGGCAGTGCAGGGTCCTCGCTGGACGGGTAAAGGACAGAGCGCTGTGAGGGTTGAGATGCTAGAAGGAGGAGAGAATTCACTTATCAGCAGCTACAAATACATGTTCCAGAGACTGAGAGACGTGCGGGACGGTGAAGCCATGTTCTTGTTCTTTTCCAAATGTGCATTGTCATGTTGGATGTGGATTCTTCCACAATTACTGCAACAGTTCTACCTGCATGGCGGGATGTAGATTTGTGTTTGTGTTGCATGAAGCATACAGATTGGCTTTTTTGATAATTATATATGTTCTCTATGTTGTCTGTAGTTTTGACCGAAACGATTGAAGAACTCGGAGAGGAATTGCGAAGTCATTTTAACATAGAGGAATTCTCTCCAGTTTCATTACCTGTTCAGGTACAAGCACAGACATTATCGTGGACATTATAAAGAAAAGAGGCTAAATCATTCTATTTTTGAAGTGATAAAAAGGAAAATATCTGTCTGCAAAAGTTCATTCTGCAGTCTGTGGGTATCCATTTGAACTAGATGTGATCTAATTTTTTTTACTCTCTCTCTTGTAGGATAGCATCACAGTGCTGGGGCAAGTGTGTTGTGACAGTAACGGGAAGCTCAATACCCAATCTGTGCTGCTGGAGGCCAGACAGGAACAGGGGGGCAGACAGGTGCCTGTGGATCTGTCTGAGCTCAAAGAGTTCTCACTTTTTCCTGGACAGGTGAGATACACACCTACTATTTGATACATATTTTTTCTTTTTGTTTTATGTTTGTATTTATCTTATTACGAAGTAATATTTTTATATTACATATAATTTTCAGGAACCAGAATTTTTAGTAATTCACTTAAAATTCTGATTATTATGTATCAGGGGATGTATTTTTCCCCCATCTTTAATAATTATGCAATGTGTTTGGCATATATTATTATCTATATTAGCAACATTCTATTATTCTCTTCTGTAGGTTGTCGTGATGGAAGGTATGAATCCCTCTGGGGAGAGGTTTGTTGCTACCAAACTATACGAGGTATCTCTCGCAATTGGCACTTTTTAAATGAAACCGGTTTGGGTTAAGTTCGAATTTGGTCGATTGTGAGTTATGATATTTATTCTGTGATTTGTTTCCCCACCAGGGTATTCCCCTGCCTTTTTACTGTCCTTCCGAAGGGAAACAAGAAATGGATGAGGGTAAGATTGGTGATGGACAGGTGAGATACACACCTACTATTTGATACATATTTTTTCTTTTTGTTTTATGTTTGTATTTATCTTATTACGAAGTAATATTTTTATATTACATATAATTTTCAGGAACCAGAATTTTTAGTAATTCACTTAAAATTCTGATTATTATGTATCAGGGGATGTATTTTTCCCCCATCTTTAATAATTATGCAATGTGTTTGGCATATATTATTATCTATATTAGCAACATTCTATTATTCTCTTCTGTAGGTTGTCGTGATGGAAGGTATGAATCCCTCTGGGGAGAGGTTTGTTGCTACCAAACTATACGAGGTATCTCTCGCAATTGGCACTTTTTAAATGAAACCGGTTTGGGTTAAGTTCGAATTTGGTTGATTGTGAGTTATGATATTTATTCTGTGATTTGTTTCCCCACCAGGGTATTCCCCTGCCTTTTTACTGTCCTTCCGAAGGGAAACAAGAAATGGATGAGGGTAAGATTGGTGAAAATGTATTAAGAACTTCCCTGTTGAGATCAATGCTCATATTAAACCCTTCATGACACAAATTCTCAGTGTCTGAGCCTGTGATGGTCATGATGGCTTGTGGACCGTACACCCCCTCTGAAAGTCTGACCTATGACCCTCTGATTGACCTCATTACTATCATCAATAAAGATCATCCTGACGTGTGCATTCTGGTAGGTATATTTATCTCTCGATCATAAGAGTATAACTGCTTTTAGGGACATCTTAATACAATTTATTTAAATCTGAAATTTTTGACTAGTAATTAACCATTTATTTCTCTTATAGTTTGGGCCTTTTGTTGATTCCAAACATGAGCAGATTGAGGTAAACCAGGTTTTGTGTGTTTTTGAAATTCCTGTACTAACATTTTTCATCATGGCCACAAATGTAACCATTTGATGCTCAACCATTTCAACAGAAAAACCAGGTAACAGAAACATTTGAAAACATCTTCAAGAGATGTGTGGACAGCCTAGTAGAAGGAACCAAAGGGTGTGTATATACATTTTTTCTTTGCGTCTTTAGGAAGTTCTCACAATGTACAACTGTTTTCATTGCATGCATTCTTTTATTATAGGTCAGGATGCAGGTTAGTGTTTGTGCCATCTCAGAGGGATGTCCATCATCATTACATTTATCCTCAGCCACCCTTCAACCTGAGCAACCTCAGCAAAGATGATTCAGAGGTGAGATGATTAGCTAAATGCTTTGAATCTAATTGGCCGTCTTCTTTATTTTTAAGTGCTGGTGATTTAATATCATGAACTTATCTTTGTGTTATTCAGGGCAAACGTAATTAGAAAGGCATGGCTTTATTTAATGTCTTAATGCTTAAACTGAATAATTAAACCATTTCTGTCTACTCTTGTTGTTCAATATACATTTTCCACCCCTAGCGAGTGACCTTAGCCCCTGACCCCTGCACACTCCTCATTGGTAATGTGACATTTGGCCTGACCTCTACAGACATTCTGTTTCATATGGGAGCTGAAGAGATCAGCAGGTAATGCTAATAAACCAGCTAGTAATTATTTCATGAAAACAACCTAAAACTGACATGTGAATTTACATTATTTCATTAATGTTCAGTGGAATGAGTGAGCACAAGCACTGATTTACGGTATAATTATGGTTTTTGCAGTGGCACAGGCACAGAACGTTTCTCGCGGATCATGAAGCGCATGTTGACCCAGAGAAGGTTAGAGCATTAATTTCTCATCTTTAAAATGAAATTACCTCCGATTTGATTTGTAGTAAAATGTTGTTTGCCTGTGCTCTTCTCTGCTATTCCTGAGATTTCATTTCATTGTTCTTTTAGCTACTATCCTCTCTATCCTCCTGCGGAGGAAGTCAACATGGATTATGACAAGTTTCAGCAATTCGGCCAAATGAACCTCACACCTGATATTCTTATCGTTCCTTCTGAACTACGGTATTTCATCAAGGTAAATCACTCACATTTTCAGATACCATGTCAAATAAAAGATTATATTAATTCTGACTGGAAAACTAATTTAGCATTATTTCTCAGGATGTGATTGGCTGTGTGTGTGTCAATCCTGGTCGTCTCACTAAAGGACAGGTGGGCGGGACTTACGGAAGGTTACTCATTCAGCCAAACCCTGTGCTGGTGGAGGGGAAGAGAGTGAGCCCATGTATAGCAGGACAGGTGGTGAAAGTATGATACAATTTACCTTTCCTACTGCTAGAACTTTATTAAATCACGTCTGTATTTTTTTTATGTCTGTATTAAAACTTTTCACTTAAAGTGACTGGAAAATAAAATACTTTATAAAAGGCTGTTTTGTCCAGTTGTTTACCATGTCATCAAAATCAAAACCTTTCTTGCACATTCTTGGTGTTATCAGTACTTGTTATTCCGAAAACAATGTCATTTTCTTCCTCTTTTCTGTATCATTGACATTACTTAGACCAGTGGTTCCCAACCCTGGTCCTGGAGGCACCCCAACACTGCACTTTTGCATGTCTTAGACTTAGACCACTGACCTAGACAACAGGCTAATGGATAATGTTCATCAAAAGCCAACTAGCCATTTAGGCATTCAGGTCTGGCTTGATTCTGAGTTGAATTGGCCATTTTACTTGTTGAATAACCTGTTTCGCTCAAATGCATGGCATTACAGAAGTAAAACTGGTAATGAATGTGGTTATATATAAACCTTTATTATAGGATCAGCCTGAACTTTATTTTAAAAAGTAAAATCATTGGTGAAATCAGTTCATTTATCTCGCATTCAGAATGCTACTAAAACATTCTCAAATGAGCTGTTATAAAAAGCTTAAATATACATTACACTGAACATGGTAACAGTGAGCACATTTACAGGTAAAGTATATACATTAATTGGAGAACTGTGTTCAAACAGGTCTTTAGTTGGGAATGTTTTCTAGTCCCATTGCAATGTCCCTTAATTTAGGATCATCCCTCCAGTTGACTTTACTGGCCAGTATGATTCCCTGAAAGCAAGATTTTTATGACAAAGAGGTTCAAAATGCAACGTTTCTAAATAAATAGACAGCAAGGTAGATAAAATTTCAATATGTACACAAGCAAACATTGAGAAACCACATACCCGCAACACATTTTGTAAAATGGTGGTGACCTTCTGGTATTTCTGTAGGACCGCTTCTGCTCTTTCCTTAGCTCTCTGTTGAACTTCTCCTTGGTTCTCCTTCATCTGTTTCAACTCATTTATCTCCTGCATTTTCTTCTTAATTTGTCCTTTTAGGTCTAGGTAAAATATGAATGAGATTATTTTCTACGAAATTGCAAAATCACAGCAGAAAATGCTTCATTAAAATAGTAAGTAGGGTTGCAAAGGGGTGGAAAATTTCCAAAAATCCCTGGAATATTCCAAAAAATGCTGGAATGTGGCCAAAATTTCTGGAATGTTACTGAAATTTACTGGAAATTTTCCACTTTTTTGCAACCCTAATAGTAAGTACCAAGTCTTTCTTTTTGGATATCTGTGATCTGGTCCTGAAGCTCTCGTGTTTCCTGGAAAAAAAGTTGTATATGTTATATGGCCATAAAATTGTTTACAAATTGAATTATTCATAAAATGACAATGCTCTTTCTAAAACATACAGCAGAGCAGGGATTGTCCCACCTTTAAAATTTTCATGGTCTTTTCACAGAGCTCTGTGTTCTGATGGGTCAGTTCTTTAAGTGCCCTGTATAATGAAAAATATTATTACAGTAACTGAATATCAGACTACATAGATAAGATGTATTTAAATTAGGATTCACTCACTCAGCATCTGCATCATTCTGAATCATCTTTTCAGTAATGACGTTCCAAATCTGCATTCTACACAAAAACAAAGAATCACTTTGGACACAGCTGGACATTGGATTGCAAAAAAAATAAATAATAATAATTTAAAAAAATTATGTGATACCACAGCATCTTTACCTGTTCAATACCAGCGTTTTGTTGAAATATGACAGTCTTGCCTGCTCTATTTCACTTTCATACTTGGATCTACATAGTTTTAAATATATGAACGTCAGGTTATTTTGTAACATATTGTATATGTACAAAGTAAACATACATATTCATAAATTCAAACACACTTACAGATCTGCATCACCTTCACATGACTCTTTATGTTTTCCTTAGAAACAAACACTACAGTTAGCATTAAGTTAATTATTAGTGGTCAATATAAGTGTCGTTTATTCAAGCATAAATTTAAGCTTACCCATGCTGACTTTAACATTCATTTCAAAACACTGATTTTCCATCATTTCTTTCATTCTTGAGGAGAGAAAAAACAAGACATAAAAGAAACAGACCGAGTATAGTTATACTTATCTATTACATATTGTGTATATGTGAAACGTACACCGTTCAAACTAGGCTGCTTATGTTGAAGTGTTTGGGATGTGGCTTTTAATGATGAGACCTTTTTTGTAATCAGGCTCTCAAAAAGTATATAACAATTTGGATATAGATTTATCGGCCAACATATCGGTTATCGGCTTTCAAAAATAAAGAATAATCGGTTATCGGTATCGGCCAAAATTTCCATATCGGTGCATCCCTAATCCTAACAATCCATACATCAATGGAAAGCTTATTTATTCAGCTTTCAGGTCTCAATTTCGAAAAATTTACCCCTATGGTTTTGTGGTCCAGGGTCACATATAGTGCTCTACGCATTAGTGCAAGAAGATACAAATAAAATAATACAATAATGGAAAATCACTTCAATAAACGTGTGGGTGTCACCCCCTCAGAAGCTGATGCTGAATCAGGAACACTGTTGTTTATTTCAGCTGGATCAACATCTGAAGAGCGTTCATCATGATTACTGAGACTCATCTTTGTAACGTTATATCTGTGCAGAAATGAAAACACCAGAAATCCTATTCAAAGTTCGGTTGAAGGTTTTAGAGACCCTAGATATAAAGCGTATATAGATTTTATTTTAGATTTATGATACAAAATAGATAACTGATAACAACAGCAGGTTAAAGCATCAGTAATGGCTGTCAAATGAGCTTTGAACAGGTCCAATGTTCCCGCAGCGTATAACCAATGAATTCCTTTGACTTCCCAGTTGTTTACAATAACCGTATAAGGATTTTTTTTTTTAACTACACCAACCAAGTAAGCGTATTTAAACAACTCTCCGTTTCACTTACCGTCGCTTCTTGTTCTTTCTGTTGCTGCTTTTGTTTACTAATATTACTTTTTATTGCAAGCTTCCAAACCGCGCGACTTCAAATCAGTCTTCTTCTTCTTCTTTTTGTTCAATGGCCGTTCACTCCTTAGGAGTATTACCGCCACCTACTGCTTTCAGTCTAAACTGCCGCCTGGAAGTCTTGGCGTCACGTGACTGTCATGTGACCACGGTGATGATCCACGAAACCCCGCCCACCTGCATTAATCTAAGCATGAGCAGAATAAAGGGCTGGCCGTCACAGGCCACGATCAGCCCAGTGTTTAGTGTGTTTCGGAGGTCAAGATGGGAAACTAAGGTTATAATACAATACGAGATAGCGTCTTGTTGGTAAGACTGTATGTTTATTGTGCTTATTAAGAAGCGTGGCTCTATAGATTTGAAATGTAGCGTTATTTTAAAGGCAGAACCACTTGTGATGAATGTTAGCAGGATGAGCTATTGTATAATAAATTAATTTTACGCTTTGCTGCAGTAATCTATTATTGATATGTGATATTAAAGCTCATTAATTAGAAAAATTCGCATGTACGTGTGCATGAATTGACAGCCTGTTTCAAGTTCATTCCATATGATTCAGTAATGTGACCGCTTCTCTGCTCTAGACTCGCACTTTATCAGTAAAGGAAACGATTGTAGTTATTTCTAACTAAATAATGCAACATTTAAGCATTAATTGTCCTTTATGATAGTCCTTACATGCCCTCGTCTGGTTGCCAAGTCTAAAAGCAGAAGCGATCAAAACGTTAGGTCGAGTCTTTTCAGTGAATCAGTTGAGTCGGTTTGTAGAATCGGTCTGAAGAATTCAAGTCAATTGTTGAATCAGTTCTTTTCAACGAACTGTTCAAAAGAACCGATTCGCGGAAATGACTCTGACTTCCCATCGCTGCTTGTTTGCAGCGTTGAGTTCTAATACAACCGCGCCCTCTTCAGGTTGCTAATGCATTCACTTTGTGTGTCTGAACCGGAAGCAGTGATCGGATGTCGACATGGGAAGCAAAGTGAGTGGCAAGATGGCAGCCGCCAGTCGGGTCGTGCAGGTAAACAGTCGCTTCTGCTTGTACACTGTTGGGTGCGGGTGCGTTGTTGAAACGATGATCACTTATCTGCCAAGTATTTAGTAATTTTGATTTTGAGTGTTTTTACTTCACCAAATCGCATTGATTTCCCTGGTTTGACAAACCAAGTATCTTCTCTGTATATTTCTTTCCTGTAAACCACAATGCCATCTCAAGAGCACACTAAGCATTGAGTACAGTAAATGCAATAAAATGCAGTCTCTAAAAGGTTTTTGAAGCATACATACAGGGTTTAATTAAGATTTAAAGAGTTTTAATTCACCTTTCCAAAATTTAAAGCCTTAAAACATCTTAAATCAGAGCAGGAAGTCATAAAAATCCATAGTCGTGGCATTGAATGTTGCAGGTATTGTGAAAAATATAAAGCATTATGTCTTGGTTTCTGAAACAAACATCCAAATGTACTTCAATCAAGATGCATTACTTGAGATGCAAAATAAAGATATGAAGTCTGGTTTTCTCAGAATTTGAACATAATGAAATGGGTTTATGATTTAAAACAAGAACAAATGTCATTGGGGTGTGAAAACACTCTTTCCTTAAGTTGATTTTTTATTTTTATTTTTTTTCTGAGCTCACTAGCAGATATTTGTTTTATTTTGAACAAATTCGCTTAAAACCATACTTTGGGGGTTGGGGAAAGGGCTTAAAAATCTTAGGTCTTAAAGGTTCAGAAGTCCACCTTAAATGTACCACCTTAAAACCTTGTAGACAAGTCACTTGTGCACAACTGTTTTGTTTTACTGTTCTCATGAGATTTATTCATTTGCAGGTTGTGCGACCTCATGCACCTTTAATTAAATTTCCAGATCGGCAGGGCATCCTTAAGCCAAATGGTCAGTAACAAGCCTATATGTTGCTGTCATTGAATTTAGCTTATCCATTATTTTGGGAAATACAGTATTTTTATTTGTTTAATACATTAGACGTTTTGGTCTCAAACGCAAAATAATAGAAAGTGCAGTAAAATTAAGACGACAAACATTAAAAAAAAAAAAATCATGGTAGCAAACATTAAAGCTGGCTCACCACTACTTTGTTGGTAACACATTTTCCATGTGCTGTATTTCCAGTACAAGAGGCACTGAAGGTGCTTGCAGCCAGTCTCCCACAGATCTCCCCATCCGCACCTCCACCTACAGCATCAATACCACCTCCACCCAGACCACCGGGACCCATCAGCCGACTGCCTGGCACCCCTGACAGCATTGATGTAGTTCGAGGTCTCCCTCACAAATACCGCAGAAGAACCCTTGCTTTAGATGAAATGGACTACATCCAGGTTAGTGTTCACTTTAATTTGAAATGACAGTAAAGAACATTTTGGATTTTTCTGAGGCTAAACAGACAAAATTATGAATGCTAACAAGATTAGTAAACAATAATGGACATGGACAAACCACTGATAATAGTTTTGTTCTTTCTTTCAGCGTGGTGGGCCAGAGTGACTGTTGTCTGGTCCAGTTCATTCAATCAGATTCTATGTCAAAATCAGTTGCCTGACATTTTTTTTCAGTATAAGAGGAGTTCATAATATGTTATGCAGCAAACCAAACTAATTAAATTAGTTTTATTGTACGTACATATTATTTGACAACTGTAAAGCCTGTGCATGGTTGTTTCATTATTTAGGTGCTCTGTATTTACATTAAAATGCAGAACTCTTTGCCTTCTTATTCTTCAGTCCATCCATAATGTGTGTACACTGGCTAGCACCTCTAATGACCATCATGAACAGAGTTTATGAATTTCCTCTTCCATTGCATTATATGTTCTGGATTCAGAGAAAAGCACTAATCCGAGTGCCAGCCTATTCTACAGGTCTAAACAAAATGGAGTATTGTGAAACTGAACAATTAAAATATTTACAAATTTGTGAAAGCTTGTTGCAATTTCTTTTTTTTCTTGTTTATTTAGCCAACAAAATTATTTTTTTATTTTTTTATTTTTTTTTTTAATACTGGAGTGGGATGTCATGTTTTCAGTCAAATTACCACACATTTGTTTCCAGGGTTTTTATTTCTGGAGCTTTTTACACCGAGTAATAAAGTACAACAAAAATACAAAAGAATGAAAAACCAAACAAGAAGCAATACAATTATATGTACATATTTTATAAACAATAGCGATATCTGAATAATTCTGTAATTAATTATGATTGTCTGTATATATGGATATACATTTATAACCCCCCCCCCTGTTGAATGTGAAAACCTATTTAATAATTCTTTTAAAATTCTAAATTAAATATATAAAGCGCGCGCACACACACACACCCAAATCCACTGAGGACAATTTACCAAACTTCTCTCAATAATTTTAAGCTGTAAAATGTTTACTTCTATAGGTCAAAACAACCTGTACATTCTGGTATTTTAGTTTGTTTTTAAATTGAAACAATCTGCAAATATTTGGGGATAAATGTGCTTCAGCAAAACTGAAATTCACTATCATTTATAAAAAGTACTAATACATAATAGTAGGAGCACAGACACTTAAAAGTATGAAAATAAAAACTTTTTATATGAGCACCAAGTACTACATTTGTTGTATGTTGAGCATGATAAAGTTCTCTGCTGGATGTACATACTGAAAACATTTCAGACAAAACAAAAAACTGACAGAGTAAAACACTTTGTAGGCATCTACAGATCCATTTCGATCATCGTCTGTATTCGCAGCTCCAAACATGCTACTAACAAGTACTTCTCGAATTAACAATGTAGATGCACAAGACTTTCAACTCGACTTATAATTGCAACTGCAGTGCATTTAATAGAAAATAGACTCTTCACATTACTAATAGCAGCCGTTAAGTATCAGGAGTAAGAATGACGGTGAACAAATGAAACTCCTCAGTCTACTGAGCAAAGAGATGAACAAATGGCTTTAAATGGGAGTGTTCATAAATTATTTCCATTTCCATTTTCCATCTCTCTCCAAAAAAAATCAGCATGCATCTTTTTGACGTCTCTTACTGCAGTAAACAAAACAAAGATGAAAACAAGCGATGAATATTGTAAGACTCACAGAAGTACAACAATCTATACATATCGACATATTATTGCCATAAACAAGACCATTTTTTCAGCATTCTGCATTGCCCTAATCAAAGTCAGGGCTTTTAGTATACAAATTAATTCTATGGTAAATTGTTTTAAAATGCAAATAGCAGGAAGGTCTCGAACTCGGAGGCGGTATCGGTTCTGATACAGTGCGGCAAGCTGACTGCTTTTTGGCAATTAATATTTATCAGCTTGAAATATGTCAAAAGGATCAACAAGAGTCCAATCTGCTTCATGCATACAATATACAACAACGGTAAAGAACTTAAGACAGTGAGCTTAACATAAAGAGAGGTAAAGAGTGATTAGCAATTAGCTCAATTAACATTCAGGTGTTCTCAGTACCCCTGGCAGCTACAAAATATACATAATGCATAACTGAAAAAAAAAAATAACACTGGTTTAATCGGTACTAAAGCGCCTGCAGTTTAGAGCACCAGCAGAAGTTGCTGATGATTTGTAAAAAATAAAATAAAAATAACCTGTGATAGTAATGTGTAGCATCTAAACAGCTTCATAAGCTCAAAGGGGGATCATAAACATCACTTCTCACAGTCTAATATTTATACACAACTAATGATAATACTGTCAAGTGCAGATGACTGCCCTCTAGAGTCAATCTGTCTAATATAATGATATTGAAGCTTACATTATTATTATTTGAGTGCCAAATCTTGGACAATAAGAAAACTTGGGGACTGGAAAATCTAAATTATTTTTACAGTGCGCAGTTGAGAAAGATTCAATCTGTGTTCATTTCAGTCATGCTACTTGAGAATTAAGCAAAACATAAAAAGGCATCAACCAAAAAAAAAGTTTTAAATGTTCGGATTACCACAATAAATTGAGTTTAAAGCTTACACTTAAAAACATCCTAACTCGAACACCAATCAATAACGAGATCCAAAACCTCATTTGGATAATAAAAAACATGGATATCTCAAGGCTTCCTTAAAAGAAAAAAAAAAAAAAAGAGGCCAAAATATCTCAGCAACTAGAAGTGCTCTTTGCTGCTTTGTTTTTTGTCTTTTGCTCCATAGAAATCACTATTTTCAATTACAAAAGCCAGTTTCCTGATATACAAAATGCTACATTTCCCAAGGCTTAGTCTATCTCGTGTGGTGTAAACACTGGAAAAAAAAGTACCAAGTTTTGAAACAAACACATACATGGAAAATCCTAAAACATCAACAACAAAAAAAATGCAGTTTCGGTGGCAGCGACAACTTTGTGAGACAGTAAAACTTAAAGATGCAGGTGTTGGGATGAGTACAGTAAGAGACCACGGCTCTCTGCTCCAGCATTTAGGTTTAACTGTATATCACCGAAGACAAAAAGGATATTAAATATCTGAAGGACCAGAAAAATAAATGGCTATTTAAACTCTTGAGAAATCAAGATTTCTTAGCTCTGTGCAATAAAGACATCACTGATGTCATATTACAAAAACAAACAAACAAACAAAAACCTGACCAAAAAGTATATTCATATATATATTGACATTTTTTTTTTATTTAAAAAAAGAACTAATAGTCAGTGAGCGGATGAATGTGTGTCTGGATGACAGAAGAGAGTCAGTCGGACTGAAGTGCAGTGTGTTGGTGGTGTCGTGAATGAGAGCCGAGAAACCTGTTAGTTTCGCTGCTCCCTATGCTGCTGAAGTCTGTGACCGACACTGCCATTGTGGCGCCTGTAATGCGATGTGCGCGTCTGCCCTCGAAGTCCAGGTTAGTAACAGACACGTCGTTGATGAAGGACTCCGAAAGGCCCATCTTGAGCCTCTTGGAGGGCCGTTCGCAGTCTTTGGTGCTGCACATGCTGATCTGGCCCAGGTCCGAGCGGTAGAAGCCAGAATCCAGCATGTTGAGGCAGCCGCTGTCTCCGTTTGTAGTATAGCTAAGCTGATCATCATGGTTCAGGGCTCCTCGGTGTAAACTCTCCAGAGGGGGGAAGTACGGGGAGTCTAAACAGCTTATGTCTCCTGGACCATTGCACACAGTTGCTACGCTGTTACTAATGGCTGCGAGAACAAAAAGGGGGAAAGAAAACAATTTTGGGATATGTTTGAGGAAAAACAGGGATGTATGAGAAAGAAAATCTTGCTGATATTCAATAAAAGTGTTTCCTACAGAAATATGTTTGGTAAATTAATGTTTACATTTTTATTGAAATGAAGATGAAATTGGGATAGTTCACCCAAAAATTAAAATTAGCCCATGAATTACTCACCCTCAAGGCATCCTAGGTGTATATGACTTTCTTCTTTCAGATGAATCCAATCGGGAGTTATATTAACAATTGTCTTTGATCTTCCAAGCTGTTTAATGGTAGTCAGCGGCTGTTGCAGTGCATCAGTTCAAAAGAAGTGAAATAAAGCCATCCATAATAAAAAGTGCCTCACACAGCTCCGGGTGATGAACAAAGGCCTCCTGTAGCAAATTGATGCGTTTTTGTAAGAAAAATATCCATATTCAAAACGTAATAATCACTTTAATCTAGCTTGCGCCAACAGTTGTACACGGAAGCAGTTCCGGGAGCATGATGTAAGATGTCGGCGTTGCACACGTGCCGGTGAGTCTCGTGAGAACCAACGTTTGTTAACAGGAGCAAAGGAAGCAAAGTTTCCTTACTTTAGCAAAGGAAAACCAGTCTCCTCTTGGCTTATATGGAAACCCTCCGACATTCTTCTTTACAAATTCGTGATTGTTTTGTTTTGATCTCTCCCCTGCGCTTCCACGCTCGTCACTTCTGAGCGGCACATGCGCAACGCCGCCCTCATACATCATCTGCCTGGAACTGCTTCAGTGTACAACAGTGAGCGCAAGCTAGATTAAATTGATTATTAAGTCTTAAATATGGTTATTTTTCTTACAAAAGCGCATCGATTCGCTACAGGATCCGTTTCTGTCAAGGGAGGGTTGTTTCCCCCCCCCCCCCCCAGAGCCGTGTGAGGCACTTTTTATTATGGATGGATGCGCTTAATTTCACTTCTTTTAGACTGATGCACTGCAACACGTGCTGACTGCCATTAAACAGCTTGGAAGATCAAAGACCATTTGTAATATAACTCCGACTGGATTCATCTGAAAGAAGAAAGTCATATACACCTAGGATGCCTTGAGGGTGAGTAATTCATGGGCTAATTTTCATTTTTGGGTGAACTAACCCTTTAAATGAAGAGATGCAGCTCTGGTTCATAAGAATAATTTCTTGATGAATCTAGACTACCGTGGCAGCTGAGTTCACCTGTGAGGTCACTGGCAGTGATGGAGTTGAGCAGTCCGAGCTGTTGCTCTGCCGATGCCTCCATCCGTCCCCCAGGTCCTGCCGAACACACCGATGACGAGCTGTCCACCGCCAGACCCTCCGCCTCGTCCACCAGCCTGTCCATCAGGTCTCTGCAGAGGAAGCCAACACAGCTGAGCCCAACAATTAAAATTTACACACAGGCACAAGGAACAATAATTACACATCCCAGTACTTACGTCACACCCGGGTAACAACTGTACTTCTTTTTGCCAAATCGGTTTTGTTGAGCAAAGTAATCAAAACGTTCAGACTTTTTCCACATATAATAAAAAGCCACACATTCTGCTACAGTCCGGGTCTGAACCTGAAAAGAAATAAAATAGAAAAAAAGCAATGAGAATACAGACATTCACAAGACAAATAAGATAAAGGTGAAGTGTGTAACGTTACTTGCCTTGTGTTTCTGAATAAGATGGAAGTTTTTCTCGTAAATCTGCAGCGCATGTTCAAAGTTTCTACATTCATCCTCTGACCACGGTGGGGATTCTTCTATCGAAACAAGATAAAGAGAAGTGAACATTTATGCCATTACAGGTACAAAAGATTTCAAGCTGGTCATGTACTGAACAGCCTACCTTTCAAAGTCTTCACATTACTGCGGTATCGTGTCAGCGCCTCACGGGTGTCATAATTACATTTCAAAAGCTCAAACAAGGCCTAGAAAGGAGGTCATAGAAAAAAAATGCAATTAAAACCATAGCAGCATCTCTCACATGGGCAAAAGATTTTCACATTAATTATATTAATTAATGAGAGTATTTAGAGAGCACAGACCTGTTCGTTATCTCGTATGTTTTCAGATGTGGAATTTTCTGTACTGTCGTCTGTAGACTGTGACAGCACTTCTCTGAGGTAGTCTTTCACTTTACACTCTGACAGTGCGTCAGGACACCACAGCAGCTGATCCTCCTCCTCGTACACTTTAAACAACACATTAAAAATGGTCATTTACAGTTATTGCAATAATTTTAAAGTTAATTACAGATCATTTCAGTTGAAAGTCACACTAAGCAATTTAAATACAACTTACCTTCATCATCATTATATTGGCTAAGCCCCACTGGAACTTCTGCTTGATACTGAGATCCAACCATTATTTCCTGTGTTTTAGAGGAAAAACAAATAATTCACTTTAATATTAATTTATTTAATTAAATAATTATATTGTTTTTCAAAAAATAATTTTAGTTAATACTTTTATTTAGCAAGGATGCATTAAATTGATCAAAACTGACAGAAAAAAAAATTCATAATAAACAAAATATTTCTATTTCAAATAAATGCCGTTAATTAAATGTAATACTGTTTTCGATGCAACTGTATTCAAAAGAGATGAAGAAAGCTTTTGAGCATCAAATCAGCATATTAGTTTAATATCTGAAGGATCATGTGACACTGAAGACTGCTGAAAAATCATAAAAACATTTTTAATCTAATTAATTACATGATGTGGCAATTAATTAATTGCACATCAATTTTGGCTGAGAAATTACTCCCAAAAGATCATTTAAAGTCATTGTTGTGTAAAGCATCAAACAGACATTACAAAAAGTAGCTTCAGCAAGAAATATTTTGTTTGATAAAATGCATTAATACATATTCTCTTTTGGACCATGAGGGTGAGTAATTGATGACACAATAGTCCTTTTTGGGTGGGTGAACTATACCTTTAATAATTCATTTTATTAATATTACTATGGAAATATGAAATTATTTCTTTAATGAAATGATACTCTAAATAATAAACTAAAACTGCCAGTAGATGGTGGTAAATGTCTTAACGATTAAGTCAGAGTCATTTATTTATTAATTTGATTCGTTCAAAAGGCTGATTCATTCATTCAATTAAATGGTTCTTTATGAATGGTCCATTGAATCATTAGGCTTGTTCGACTTGAAGCGGACTGATCGTTGTGTGACATCAAAGTACCGCAAGAGCTGTAGAGAGCAGACACCGATCGATCCGTGCATGCGCCGCTTCAAATCCACGCCAAATGGTTCACCCAATTATTGCCAAAAACAAGACCCTTTATTTTCACCGTAATTAATCTAATTAACGCATTAACTTACCAGCCCTAATTGAAATAGTTATCTGTATGAATGAGACTAACCTTTCTAGAATCTTCACTGCTTACACAGTCCTCCTCCCCCTCAGATTCTTTATCACCATCATATGTTGCATTGGCTAGAAAAAGAAACAAACAAATTCAGTTCATTAAATACATTTGCAGATACCTTTAAAAAGGACAAAAACATTAAAGGGGTCATATTACAGTTACTTTAGATATCACGTTTTTCCCTGCAGTCTGCCTATAAAGTTAAAGTTTACTGTGCAAAAAAGTAAACGTAATTATGACCACTTACCACTTTCTATGTGGAAATATGTTCTCTATATTGAGTAAGTTTATAATAAATGTAAATTATTAAACTATAAACACCTCCAATAGTGACAGAGGAAACATGGACAGTTTAGTATTATATGAAGACACATAAACTGTACTAGTAAAAGAGTGTAATGAGTCTCCTCACATCTGAGTGTTCTAGGGAAGAAGTCGGTGGCCTCGTGGGAGGTAACAGAAGGGGTCAGGTCATCAGCAGAGGACTGGGTCTCCTCCTCATAATCTCCTGACAAGAGATCTTTCGCTATCTCCTCCTGCAACAGAACACCATTAGTGATTTCATCTTATAATTTTTGTTGACAATTTCCCCTGGCACTGAAACAAAATCATGTCAATTACCTTATCCAGGGTCATGTCAGGCAGATCATCAGCTAGTTCAACAGATGAACTGTCCATGCTAGATCCCGCCCCCGTACTGACTGATGCCTCATAACGATACATAGCCAACAACTCCTCGATCGGCATGTTCCCCTCCTATCCAAAAAAAAAATACAAATGTGTCAAAGCAGAAATATTGCCCTTATTATCCAGATATTGCAACATGAATCATACAGTTTTTAATGAGGAAATAGTGGATTGTTATGAATGCACGTTACCCTCTCCAGGTCTGACAATTCTGCAGAGAAATTCTTCTCTCCCTCCAAAAGCTCTTCCTCCTCCAAAGTTCTCTCATCGTCATACTCATGAATTAACATCTCAGCTGTTGGGTCAAAGTCGTGATCCTCTGAGGACAATGAGCCAACTGGGGGGAAAAAATTTATTGACTTATTATAGTACAACATTTAATGGAACATGACAGAAAATGAAAAAAAAAAAACGGCAAGCAACCAAAAATATTATAATTACCTAATCTCTTGGGTTAGTTAATTTTTTTAAAGTATTTTTCAAAACATTTTTGAGTAAATATTGTGTAAAATAAATGTTCGCTTCATGCTAATATTTTGCTAATTGTATTGTATATAATTAGATTTTTTGTATATCCTTACATGAATCAGTATTGGCTATTGAAAAAAAATACAGTTTGGTCAACTATTATTTGCAATACTACTAAGATGATGATGATAATAATAATAATACACTTATAAAATTAAAAATGAGGCCTACCAGGGCTTGAACTCCCAAAGGAAGCCTGTGCAGACAGATGTAAATTAAAAGAACAAAGAAAAAAAGGGGAAGAAATAGGTTATCACATTATGCAAAATACATTACAGTGCAATGATGAGCATTAGAAAACATATAAAACCGAATGAATATTCAAATAACACTAAAAGTAAAACCCATGGCAGTAAATGTACATCAATGTCAATGGAAGCCTGTGTCCCTTTTAAATATTGTCCTGATAAAAATAACGCTTAACTACTTATTAATGCATCAGAGCTACATTAATGCCACAAACCAAACAGCCATCATCTCTATACGAATGCTGTCATCCTCTCTAAACACTGCAAAAACCCACCGACTCGCACCATAAACAAACCTTTCCAGCAAGTTAACAGACAACATGCATTATGTTAAAACAGGATGAAGCCTAAAAAAATCAGATGCGTCATGAAAACGACATTTATGTCGAATAACGTATCAATTAAAGGCGAAGATTTCTTGTTTGTTTGTTTTTTTCCTGAGCTAACGGGGATGAGATTCAGAGGCCTTTCCGATCCAGATAGATCACTCTTCATTTAAACCGGTTTACTATCGTCGGTTTCACACAATTATTGCTATAAACCCCCGGCGTATATATATCAGGATCTATTTTTACGCATATATATCAACGAAAACCACCACTATCACAGTAAATCGTTAAAGAGATGGATTTAAAATCGAATACTTTTCCAGCTATCCAGCTTACCTCCGCCATATTGGTGTCTTTGGCCTCATAGGTTGGCTGTGCTGCAGTACCCGGATGTGCACAGGGAGCCAATGACAAACGCAGTACTTTTGGCACACTTTTCAAACAGGTTTACAGCAAACCGGGTTTTAGATTTAGGCTGTTCATTGACCTCACAGTAGTCTGTATGGGTTACACTTGATAATTAGCTTTGAGATTTACATATGTATATTTATATACAAGTTTGTCATACACATTCACTTTATTCAACCCCCCAGATTGCATTATAAATAATACCCTAGGTAAGGATAAAATTAATTAGGCGATAGCCTATAAGTTATGAAGAAAAATAACCATACTAATAAAGATGTAAACAACTTAAACAGAAGTCATGATGCTTGCAATGTAGCATTACAATATGTTTCTATGCAATAGTCACACTAAAGGTGCCATAGAATGGAAAACTGTATTTACCTTGGCATAGCTGAATAATAACAGTTCTGTACATGGAAACGACATACCGTGAGCCTCAAACACCATTGTTTCCTCCTTCTTGTGTAAATCTCGTGCATGCAAAAGACCACTGAAAAATAGGCGAATCAGAACATAACACCGACTAATAGTTACGCCCCCAATATTTACATATACCCGCCCATGCTCTACGCTAGCCGGACCTGCACAGCCGAATCATCAGAAGTTCTGCAGGTATTGTGAAGAAACAAACGAGGATAATAGCGAAAATGGCAGATCATGGAAGTAAACGTTATGTTCCAGTCTGTGCAGCAGATGTGATGTGCAGGGATGGGTTGGTGCCTGTATTCAGAAAGCCACGGAAAACAAATAACGCGCGTTCTAATAAAATAACGCGAGCCACTAAAGGGACATGGTTAGCTGCTTGCTAGCGGTAGCCTGTTACATTGAGCACATAGTGAAAGTAAAAAGCGATCGTGCATTTTATATACAGTATAATTACCCAACGATATAACTGCGAGAGACAGTATTGAAATATATATATTTCCCTGTTTCCTTCCTGCTGTGTGAGCTACTGAAATGAGCCGCACTGTGAAACAGCCAATCAGAGCAGAGCTCAACATTGAGCCGCACTGTGAAACAGCCAATCAGAGCAGAGCTCAACATTATTATTCATGACCCTTCCAAATAAGGTAAAAACAGACCATTTCATTCTAGGGACAAATCCTAGGGTTGTAAATGGACATGTAACCGTTTCTGGAGATGTATTGCCCTTACCTAAGCCACATACCTTCTATGTAGATATCAGAGAACAATTTAAAATATTGCATCAATGCATTCTATGGCACCTTTAATCTATACACCCAGCTAACAAATATGTTCTGAGAACGTTTTGCGAATGTTCCCATTAAATTACGAAAACGTTTCTGAATATTCTCTGAACGCTCAAAATGTCCAGGTTTTTAAATGTTTTTAAAAAAACTTTTTTTTTTTCTTGGTTATGTAAACGTTTTCATAACCTTTTTTTTTCGTTTTGGAAACATTATGGAAACGTTACTTTTGAATGTTCTTTCAAGGTCCTGAAACTACGTTAGTAACATTTTAAAAACATTAGACTGATGTCCGACTGAAACGTTTCAGTAAAAAAAAAATGTTCAATAACTTTTTTGTGTTAACGTTTTGTGAATATTTTGAGCACAACTTTGAATGAATTAACATCATTGGAAGGATGTTTTGTTTTGCTGGCTAGAGCTCTATATAATAAAGATGTTTCAAAGAAGCTTTGCAGTAATAAACAGTGTTGCAAAATACATAAATTATTAAACAAATTAAATTTCAGATGTAGCCTAAAGCTCTACAGAGGACAATAGTTTCATTTTAGTTCAATAACTGTTTCAATGTTGCAGTTCATCAGTTATATAACAAACATACAATTATTCGGCTCCAGTCAGTTCAGTATTATTCAGTTCAGATCGATTACAGTGCAAAGTTCATTGATTATTAAACAAGTGCATAGCATCTATAAGCAGAAGGCAACCGTATCGTACATATCATATATTTGTATCTATGTATATATGCCTACTGACAATTAATATTAATAGATCTCTGATGACATCCATCTAACACGAATGAACATTTCACAGTATATGATGCCAGTCCTCCACATTGAATTATGCTCATGAATATGCTGTCCAGCAATGCCCTAGCAACCACCAGAAATATCCTAGCAACCTAGCAATGCCTACAACCCTTTAAAACTTCAAATTTATTTTCCAGCATTCAACCACATAAGACTGTTTTTGAACTTGCAGCCAAAGCTTTGTCAAGTTTAATAAATCTTTTTTTTTTCATTAAAACTGAGACCATTCCGTAACTGAAGTGAAAATAATTTTTTTATTTTAGCTAGTTGCCAATGCATAAACAACACTACTGTACAGCAGTGAGCCTATATAATTCTCTAAGTCTCACAGTTGCATTATTCCACAGGGTGGCAGTAGTAGCCAACACTGGACATCTAGTACCAAGGCACTTATTTCAAGTTTTCATGTTATATTTGATATATTCTACCAGAAGAGAAGCAGTTAATGTATTTGTTTGACAGTTCACTCTTTTCCAGTTTCTTCAGCCACCTAAACGGTAGCAAACTGTTGACAAGTAAAAATTTTGATAAACGTTTGTCATCTGTTTAAAAAAGGCACAGCTTCTGTTTCTTATACCATTGTAGTACTTTTTTTAAATCACTGCCATTTCTGCCAGGCTGTCTGTGATTACTCTGACCTCAGTTCACAGGAACTGACTTGATATGTTTTTCTGTTCTGCAATGACGTCAGTCCCAGACTGTAGTAGTACAAGGTCATGCATATTTAATACAGATTTACTGTTTGGTTGAGCATGACATTGACTACTAAAATCACATTCCTATAATAGTGTGAATGAAAGCATTATTGCAGGTAAAGTAGTTTAGACCTGCTTTAAATTGATCCATCTTGACCGATTTCTGTTTCAACCCAGTCGTAATTATACTATATCGTTTTTAGCATTATTTTTTTTATTCAAATTTAAATGCAATAAGCTTTCAAATGTTTTCATTTTTACAGTACATTTCGGAATATTATTTAAAACATTCACTGGAGCATTTTATATAGATTATCCTTATATACAGATTATACAGGTTAACCTTGGAACTTAAAATGACCAAATCATCTGTACCAAAGTTTTTATGCTTGCCAAGTGTCCCATGTATCTACATAAAACAACTGACAAGGATAGGAAAATTATACCCAGACCCCTTGCAGGGTATCTTAGCTTGAAATATAACAATGTGATTTTGCTTCAGACATGCTAAATATAGACCATGCCCTCCCTTATCCGTGAGAAACAGGAGGTTTTTATTTTAGCAACATGTTCCTCTCACCGGGTTTAGACACTAATTGCTAGTTTTTGTGCACATTTCCTCTCAGTATTTGTTTATATTGTGCACTGGCACATACGCACCACTGCAGAAAATATAAAAGATCTTTACCCTGTTGAAAAGACCAGCATCAATTTCATGCCAGTCTAGGCTACTTTATTTGGGTTAGTGGTGTTTTGGTCTAGCTGGTGGACCAACATGGCCACGTTGTCTTCCTTTGGTCAACCAATTTGGTTATCTGTCTTTGACATTCTGCAGCCATTACTGAAGTTTACAGTAAGGATTCTTTGATGAACAGAAGAAATCTTTCAATTTAATGTGCATTGATGACTTAAAAATATATAAGCATTCTGAGCTGGGTGTTCGTTACATTTCACACCATTGTGCTAGACTCTGTTCCTTGCGGAAGCTAGGAAGTCCTGCTGCAATGTTTCACACTGACCTGAGCTTGGACCCAGCTGTCTCAGGACACCTTGTCCTGCTTTTGATGACCCCCGGAGCAAGGAAATGCAGAAAGACCCCCGCCTCAGCTGTTATCATCACACATGTCAAAGTGTCACATCTGTTCTGTCAGGCTCTCCGGTAAGGCCACACCAGTCCCTCTATCTTTTAATGTTTTATAGAAAAAAATTCAATGTTTGTCACAAAAGTTCTATTATATATATATATATATATATATATATCTGGGTCCTCCTTGGTAGAAATCGCGGTACGGGGGCACATAGACCGGACCGAAAGGGCACTTTAGCGCCAGCAATTAAAGGGGCAGGGGTTCGAGACCCCCTCATCCCCCCTGTGCACACCACTGGCATGAATCATATCTCAATCAGATTTTTTTGCATATGTTCTATTACTATTCTAAGCAATTAATCAAACTTAGATTTTCAGATGGCAATAGATAAAACGGAATACATCACATAGACTGCAAGATCTACATGTTGGCTACCAGATCTTTATATAGGCTACCAAAACATAAATACTTTTTTACTTTGCCCAACAAGAGTTAGCATCTACATCATCCAGAAATCATGGTGGCAATGTAATCTAGTTCAATATGTTTTCAGTCATGCATATCCATTCCTGTGGTATAATAATAGAGGCAGGTGAAAGGAAGTGAGGTTTCAATTGCACAATTTTACTGCACTTTCTAGTGACAAGATGACGCAATGATGATTTGTAGTCCTAACACTCAGCGGTCTGAGCTTAAAATAGTGTCTGCCTCACAGCAAGAAAACATCAACAGATTGTCATTTTGACAGTTTCCCATCCATTATCTTCCCAAAGCTGTCTAAATTCATTGTGTTGATAAATGCGACAGTGGCCCAGATAGAGCTTTTGTGTGACCATTTTGCCCCTAGATAACGCTTACATAGTCCCATGCAACCCCAAAAATATCTCCATAACAATGAAAAATACATTCCAGGTACAAAAGAATATTTAGATAGATAGATAGATAGGTTTTGAGCCTCTTTTTTGCTTTACATTTGCTATTTTGCATTGACGTCCTCTGTTTGGACTCCTTTGGACTTGTCACATGGGGAACTTCCTCCAGGTTTCCGTTCCTCTGTTTCCAGGACCACTGAGAAAGGATGCCACACATATCCTCTGCAGATGCTTCCAGCTTCTTTTATTCCCTAAGCCCAATTGAGAGTTTAGTGTATGCATTTGTATGCAACTCCCACTTCCTGTTATCAATGCACAAACAAGACCTACAACACAAAGGCAGCCTTATGCATTTTCCAGAATCCAATTAGGAAAATTTAGATATTCAATTGTAAAAGA